TTTAGGGTTAGGTTTAGGGTTAGGTTTGGGGGGGTTAGGGTAAGGGTTTCACGTTAATTTTAACTTTACCGCTCACAGCGTGGTTTTCGTCGCGCTGTGATGACGTCAGGTACGCGCTTTAGTCTACCGCGGTTTTGTGGTGGAACCATGAGAAGTAACTCCAATTTAATGTACTAGGTAAGTTATAAACTAAATCAAGGACTAAACTAAGTTTTGTATTAATAAGAACATCTTTCAATACATTAGCTAATGTTAAAACTAGACGGAAAAGATGTTTATTACTGTAAAACTGGCTATCTAATGGCATTGTGCCAAGTTTCATTTGGGAGATAGTCAACTTTAAGCAAGAGGGCACTTGTGGGACTCATTTGCACCCTCCCCATCAATGGATAGGAAACATATGTTCAATTTCTACTTAGAACCAAATATATAATTTTAAACCCCCACCTTTATAAATAATTCAAAGTGGCAAACATGTTCCCATTTCTCTCACAACCACCCTAGGTAGGTGAGCTGGATTGGGCTGAGGGAGTTACCCAGCTGGCTTTCATGCAAAAAGGCAGGGATATCCAACCCGACTGCATCATGGGCTGTATTCGTGATGTTTGCCTTTGTGGAAGAGGGGTGGGTATGGCTCATTATCCTGCCTGTGGGCCACCAGTATGACAATTATAAACATTCACACCACCCAAGTTTTTAGCCCTATTGTTTTTATTAAGTTCTGTACACGTCCTCTTGGATCAGAGCATTCTAATTCACAATCCTGTTTTCCTTCAGAATTGCCATGATCCTTCTTGATCCGCTTCCAAGAAACATGCAGCTGAAAGATTGAGCAAAACAGTGTTAAATTCTGATTCTACATTGTTAGATTCAATGAATTTTGCTTTGGAATCGAAATTAAAGAGGGTTTTCCTTTAAAGGCAGCTAAAAGCAACCACTTCTGTAGTTTTTTTGCCATAGCAACCAAGGAGCCAGAGAAACCTTGCACAAGAAGACCAATACCTGTGTGCAAAGCTGACGGTTTCGGTTAAGACTTTGGTCCTCAGCGTTGAAACATCCATTTCCGGCTCAAGTGTTTCTTCCATCAACCTGCCAAGACAAACTTGTGTTACAAAAAATTGTATCCACGGAGCAAATGCTACAATTTCTACCCTGCCCACCCTTTAACAAGACAAGCAGCGTTTTCTACAAAGGGTTTCCACAAAGGTAACGCAAGAACCCAGATGCTTCCCTCGGACCGGCCAATGGCACCTGATCCCTCAAAAAGCAGTTAGTCACGGTTGATAATGGCTGCTTAAGAAGTGTGGGCTATGGGGAAAAAGTTAAAATGCAAACAAGATGGCAAAGAACATTAAGGTTACGTGACTTAATCTTAAGAATCTCCAGAGATGAGCAGAAATCAGCTCCCCATCTTTCAACTAACCCTACTGGCAAAGAGATGGCTGCGCGTATGCCCCCTTCTGACCCACAGCAAAGTTATGCCATAAAAGCCAAAGACTCATCGTAAGGAAGAATTTTAAAAAAATTTAAAAATGCCTTAGCCGAACAAGGTTGGCAGAAAAAAATGTGATTCACATAGGTTAAGACTTTCCAAAAATAAATTACTTATATATATATATATATGAGCTCTCAACAGGAGGAAGGATGCGGACATGAGGAAAAGAGTTACCTCGAATTACAGGACTATCCCCACATATGAACTAGCCAAGAGAGCAGCTTTCGTCTCAGAGGTTCTCTCTGTTGGAGGCACAACACTTCTTTTTCGCCAAGGCACTGCAGTTTTCCATATGCTAGCAGAAAATTCTTAGAACTTAAAAGGCAACGACAAAGCTAGCTAAATTAGGTCACAATTATTGGCCTTGGAACACTGACTAGTGGCAGCTGACCCAGTTAACAAGACTCCATTATGGGCTAGCTAAATGTTTGGCTGGTTTTCAGTTAAGCTTAGTTTTTGTTTTAATTAGTATAGAGCTACCAGACTTAATTTAACTTAACTCTGCTAACATCATATTAAAATAGCAATGAGTGAAGTCTAATTTCTTCTTTCAAAGGTTGGAACAATTCCAGCCAACGCTAAAGTGACTGTTTAAGGGCAAAATTTGTGAGGTCCTTCCAGTACTTTTCCAATCATCCTCAAACTGCCCAATTGATGTCATTAGGCCTAATCAAGTACAGCATTAGCATTGTTTACATTTTTGTTCACAAGAAATGTGGGGTCTGATTTTCTCCCTGTTATAAGCCTTCCACTTACTACTTTCATTCCTGTCTAACTGTACAGTTTCAACGTTCATCCAGACTGGTGTTGTGCAGCAAGATGTAACATTTCAAGAGCAGATTTTTTTTTCAGATGGACTTTTAATAGGCTTCGTGAAGCCAAAGAAAACTGTACAAGAAATCCTTTTTCACCACTTCAAAGTTACAACAATTGAATTAGGCATACTTTCTTTCAGTAAAAAAAGGACAATAAAAACAAACATTTTTTCCAATGAACCCTTTGGGTAGTAAAATCTGCAGTCTCTCTCTGGGTTAAACTTTATGGCATACAAGTTAAAGTCTCTTAATGCAGGTTGAACATACAAGCAAAATTATTTCTTTAGATATATCAAGGTGGGTTGCCTTTTAAAATTCATACCCAGGCTACAGTACCTTGCTACACTAAAGGTTGATTAATTTTTTTTAACAAAAAACGATGCACTAAACAAAAAAAGAGTTCACAGCTTGCTCAGCTTCTACTGAACAATTTAAGGTCCTTTCTTGCTCAAAAGAAAAACAGATATGGGGCTCCAAACCTTCCGGTCTTTTCTTTTTTAAAAAAAAAACACAAAAAAACCCTAAAACACATACACGCCTTTTCTCACAAATGAACTAAAATCTTAAGTGCTTTAAAAAATTAAAACACTCGAGAAAAACCCAGCGCTTTCTTTGAGTCTGAACAGACCATTACATATTAGAAGCTGTCAAGGCTGTGTTATTGACAAGATCAGAATTGCGAGTTTACTACAAAAGTGAGAATACAAAGGAGATGACTACACAAGAACGATTTCAGCGAAGCTCCAAAAATCTTTATAAATACAGCCAATGGAAGGACGATCTTGAGCCAGGAAGGTTTTTTATTCGTTGTGTGTAGCTGAGGACAAGAAGCAGGCAGAGTTGTAAAGGCACTGAAGCACAGACAAGTTCCAGCAATTTTTCCTCCCCTACTTGTTTGCCAAGCACTTCAAACCCTAGCTTGCTATCTCGTCCCACCCATTTTGTATTCTTTTCCTTCTGGCCTTGAGGATTTTCTGGGTGTTCTTTTCAGCTTCAGAAAACTAGTTATGGATGCTTTGCCTTTGGATCCAACTAGAGCTACACATGCATTAAATGAGAATTTTTGCTTTTCCATGGCACAAGTGCTTAGGGCCTGCCAAAGGAGTGATGCCTGTCATGGGCAGAGAAAGGCTGCCAGCAAAAGCTCCAAGCAAACCTTAAAGTATTTCCAAGGTTGTCACTGCAAGATCAAGAGTGGCTCCATACATTCCCATGTCAGCACATCCGCCTTCCCTCATGATTTAAGACTTACCGTAACTGTCATAACTGTCTCTATAGGACCCTCCTGAAGGCCTGTCTCCATAGCTTCCTTGACTTCTGCTAAGGAAGAAGGCAACAGGTTCACTAAGCATATCAGTAACTACAAAGTACACAGGACATCCAGATTACATGGCATCTCACTTGTCAGGTACATACCTGCTTCCATAATAGTCTCTGGATCCACTGTATCCACCACTTCTAGATTCAAATCTGCTGCCCCCATAACCTCTGTCTCCAGAACCTGGAAGAGAGAGCAATGCAAACATTGAAATAAATTCAACAAACTCTAAACCAGACGCTACAAATTACTGGAAAATAGAACCTCACCTCTGGAAAATCCACGGCCTCTACCTCGGCCTCCACGGAAAAAGCCTCTGCCTCCAGCTGATCCCCCTCTATATCCACGAGACCTGTTTTCAGAGGACTTGCCTGCTTGATCAACTCTGATCTGGCGGCCATCAACCGACTAAAAAACAATGAAAATTCAAATCAACAGGGTGGTTCACAAGGGTCTTTTATACAGGTGAATATTAGTTTTTACTAACACCAGTTTTGGTATCAAATGACTTATGAATCAATCTTGCTGTGTTTACAGAAATTACCCATGTAGTAATTTAAAAAGGGGGTTTTAATCAATAGGAAATATGAAACATTAACCAATCACAAAGTGTATGGATCTATTCAACATACAGCATGTTATCTCCCTTGCTTGAGGGAAAAGTGAAAGTAAGAATTCCTCACCTTCCCATTCATGGCCATCATTGCATCTTTTGCATCATCAATGTTTTCAAAAGTTACAAAGCCAAACCCTCTGGATCTTTGTGTTTCTCTGTCTTTTACAACAACAACTATAGGGAAGAGAAGATAAAATGTTTAATTTTATTCCCATAAAATTTCCGTGTGACAAATGCTACCATAAGAACAAAGTTTCTGGATGGGAAACTCTTGGATTTCCAAAAGAGAAACCATCTGCTATAAACTTCCAACAGTATAAATAAGGGGACATTAGGGCCTGTTTTTTACCTTCAGATATCTGTCCATATTTAGAAAAAACTTGCTCAAGTGATTGTTCATTGGTGTCAAAACTGAGTCCACCAACAAATAATTTTCCCTCATCAGATGCCATTTCTTTTCTGCAAAAGAAATCAAGACTCAATTTTAGTATTCACGGAGGGACCAACATATCAAAAGCACATTGTTTTGAAATCCAAGCCCAATAAACACTGTTCCATTTTCCGTTGGATCAAAGATTCAAGTAGAGTTCTAGCCATTCAGACAAAAATGACGTAATTCCCACTACTTTCAGCAAACTTGTGTTTAAATCTTGGGTAAGCAAATACTGAAAATGTTGTGTGAAAAATGAACGTTAAGCTACACCATGTAATTTCCCCCCCCAACTTTCTTTTCCTTGTTTTGACACTTTAAAAGTTCTGTATAACTATGAGTACTTTTTAAGTTTACTTGAAGTACTCGGAAGACCGAGTTTTTAAGAGTTGCAATGCACTATCGTGCCAAAGAACATTAAAACTTGGGAAAATGAAGCCATTTGGCTATAAATAAAATTGGCAATCGATACAGGATACACGTTAATATATTGAAATACTCCACGTAAAAGCTGCAGTAAGGGGTAACATTTAGTCATGCGTCATAGTCTGGTTTCTTAATTATGTATCCCATCAATCTAACGTCAAAAATAACGGTACTCTTTCCGCGCATGCGCTCCAAGCACCAGTTACTCCAGCAGAGGGCGCGCATGCGCAGGTAAAATCTACTTTCCCCAGTCCGCTGTTTCGCGCATGCGCTTCCGTTATCCATCAGTCCTCTTTTCAGGAGCCATTTTGAGGTTTGCCCGAAAAGCCGGTTGGAAACCATTTTGTCTTTTCTGCAGACCACCATCCAACTCACTAGCAGCTAAAAAAAAAATATTCGCACTAAAATAATAACCTTAGCTATATTTTACCATATCCGCCTCCTGCCCCAATTATATTAATTCAAAATTATTTTCCGATTTCCCTCTTCATTTTGCGTCTATTACGTCATTATTTTTCTCGTACGCTTTTCCTTCACGACCACCACGCGCGACCCCCTTACCAATGTAGTTTAGCGGCGGCACAAACCAAAGTACAACCCTCGAAGTCCCAGCGCGAACTACGGGGCAGTTTGCGCGCGCTTCTCCTTATATACCTTCTGTGAGGACCGCCTACTTCATGAATATGCAGATAAACTCCCTTTGTAAAACAGGCCCAACTCATCACTTGGCACGTTCCGCAGGCATGAGGTAATCAGAAACAACGCTTCCCATTGGTTAGTTTGTCATTAAATATTCATAATGAAAAAAAGAGGAGGTGGGGTAGTGAAAGTCACTGCAAAAAAAAAGCCCCCTCGTCTGTTCGCTGTCTCGTGGACCCATGAGTCACAAAAAGAAAGACGTGATTGGGTGAACGAAGACTAAAACGATAGGTTGGTAAGGGCAACAAGCCGCCCCAATTCTCCTCTCGCAAGCTGATTGGTTAACATCCTCTCCCTCAACAGCTGCAGTAGATGGTCTCCAGGGGAAAAGTGGGCGTGGCACCAACGACCTACTTTCCCGCCCTGTCAGCAATGCGGCGCCGCTTTGCCGCAGCAGACAAAGAGGAGTGCTTCGACTGGGGTGGGCAAAGGCGGGAGTCGAGCGCCATCTTGGAGGAGGGCCCCAGCCCTTGAGACCCCAATCCATAGTGTGAAAACACTTCACCAACCTAGACTAAACAATAAAAAATTGGCCGTTATAAAATGATAAAGCGTCCCGAATGCATTTTATTGTGGGGGAGGGAGGACAATCCCTTCAGCCCTCCCTCGAAAGCAATTTATAACTGTGTTGGTGGCGGCCGGATCTGCAACCCAAATCCAATAGCCGAATTCAAGGCACTCGGGTGAAACAAACCCACATGGCTCATTTTGACTTAATATTCCACCTAGCTGCCCACTAATCCTGTAGCTGTGTTAACTGGCCTACAATGATGGCTTGCTACCTGTTGCAGCTGCCCAAAATACCAATGCAAACCTAGCCTGCATTCACAGGAATAGTATCAAGATCTGAATTATTAGTACCACTATATAGACTACTTTAGTAAGACCACACTTGAAATAATGTGTCCAGTTCTGGTCACCACTGTAGGAAGTTATCACCCAGCCCTCTCCCAGAAAAATGAAATATCCTAGGAAATATTGAAAAGGCAGAATAATTCTCTGGATGTGAAAAGGAAGAAACATGTTTTAAAAGACAGAATAGCTTCCTGCCCATCCCCCTTTGTCAATGAGCCATTAAAGCCTGG